ACTGTTCACACTTTAATTGAATTTATTTCAGTTAAAGTATTCGACTAGAGTATCGTTTACTGTTTGTCAATTAGTTTATCGTCGGTACTCTTGAGTACCTTTGTTAAGTTTGTCTTACATTGTTCCTACTCTTTGTCTTTCTACTCTTTTGTATATTGTCATATACTACTTATATACATTCAGTAAGCGGTTGTATTCCCAACAATTTTCACACTTATGTTGTAACGCAAGTTGTATTAATATTCTGAAAATTTCACATATACTTATAACGTTTACTGTACTTATCATTGTATTTATCATTACAATTACAGTATCTTAATCGTTGTAGCCATTATCCACAGTCTTGTGTATTTGTTTAAACGCAACAGTTTCCACATTGTTTTGCTCTTGGTTTGAGCTTCGGTTGCTCATAGACTGTTGTCAAATTTAGACACAGCTATCGGCTGTCTTTGTACTATCGTATGTTATAATTATTCTTTATGTTACTCTTACAGGAAGCTTTTGTTATTTTCATTCTTGAAGAACATGTTTAAACGCCTAGACACCTCACAAGTTGAGGTTTGTAACTAAATTTTATGTATTATTTAATAAACAATCGCTATTGTAGACGAATCGTTGTTTTGGAAACCCCGGTTTTGCGCGTATCTCAATCGGGTGACTTGGGCGCTTCGATAGACTTAACAGCCTTATTTTCTACTGTATCTGTTAGTACTTTTGGTCCTAACAATCCACAGTTCTCCACCTTTTAGGACATAGATCATTTTTTGTAGCTGAGCATTGTTGCATATCACTTATTTTACCGAAAACAACCTTTTTAATGACTGGACAGTGCAAAAACTCAGTTGTCAACGTCCGGGTTGTCGTTGTACCGTTGAAAGCGGCATGTAGTGCGATGAGTGCGAAGGTTGGTACCACGAAGTTTGCACGAATTTAACGCCTGCGGCCTTCTAAAGGTTCAGTAAAAAGGTTAGCGTTCGGCTTTGTCAACAGTGCTTTTCAAATGCAAACAGCTTGTTAACTGAGGGTATCTCACTGCTAGACGTTGCGAAACTGTTTTAGCAAGCGTAATCGGGACACATCAAACAGCACTCGCTCTGTCGACACGCAACTTGATAAGAAGTAAACTCAGGTGAGTTCGAAAATAGGTGACTCACCCCGATCAAAGAAGGAAAAACAGTCTCCAGAGGGACCTGCCTTGAACAAATTTTCAAGTAAAGTAGGTTCTTCTGTTCCTCGTCTTCCAGGTAGGATACAACAGGAAACGCCTAGAACTCGCAATCGCAAGTCTCAACCGGTTTCTATCGGGAAGCATAACTTGATCTCCCAAGTCGTCGACATCCCCCCGTAATCCAACAGCAGGTTTGACGCAACTGTTGTTGCTTCTCCCAGCACCGTGGACGAATGGGTACAGGTTGTAAGAAAGAAACAACGTAGCGATATGAAAAGGAATCCTTCCCTCGTAAATGTAGTCGGAAAATCGAAAGCTGATCACAGCGACAAATCAGTTATTTTTCATAGAATCAAGGAGAGTGAGAGCTCTGAACCAAAAGCTCGTTTTAAGCATGTCACTGTGCTGAATAAACAGCTGCCTAATCAACTCATGCCTCAAAATATCACCCGGGTCATCTTGCTAAAGGTGTACAGACTAGGGAGTCTAGCGAACTTGAAACCAAACCAATCCAGTCTGCTTAAAGTAGTATTCAAATCTTCGAACGAACGCGACCTAATTTTACAGAATGGACATAAATGAAAGGGTTCAGGAATTTGTATCCGTAAGGACTTACCATTGGCAGACTGCGTAAAAAGACGGGAAGCCGAGAAAGAACTACAACCTAGGTTAGACGCTGGCGTAAAGGACCTGCAAATTGTAAATCTTCGGGTTGTAAGGCTTCGGATCTGCTACACTAATGCCCGAAGCTAACTTAATAAACGATCAGAACTAGGTGTAGAGATTGACTCTACAAAGCCAGACATAATCGCAGTTACAGAAACCTGGCTGACACAGGCTATAGATAGTATGGAACTTGATTTCAAGTGTTTCATGTTAGTAAGGGACGACAGAATGCCTTCCAATTTGCCATTATCGACAGTGTATCGAATGAGAGTGGGACGTGTGGATTAGTTAGTTGCCGCCTGAAATGCAAGGGACAAGAGCTGCTGATTGGTTTGATCTATTGCAGTCCAAGCCGTGAGGTAAATAAGATCCTGTCAAACAGTCTCAATACTTGGTCACAAGGTGGTCGATGTCTAATCCTAGGGGACTTTAATGCAACAATGGTAGACTGGGAAAATCTGCGAACTGAATCGTCAGAAAATTCGTTCGAGCAGGAACTAGTTGGTGCGGTTATCACATGTGCCTTATTGCAACATGTGAAAAAAGCGACTAGGTACGGCCCGGACACTGAATCATCTTTACTAGATTTTATACTCACACACCATGTGGATGACGTTGCGAACCTCCGCTACATGCTACCCCTAGATAAAAGTGATCACGGAGTTTTAACTTTCAACTTCCATATAACTGTCAGTCACGAGCACGCGTCAGTCCAGTCCAGACCTAACGTCTGGAAAGCAAGCATAACAGATATCATGCACTCAGCATCGTCAGTAGACTGGACAATAAACTCAGAGTCCCCAGTTGAAACGGCCTGGGACGCATTTCGAAATTTATACTTAAAAGTTACCCCCCCACATCTCTAGGACCATACCAAGGTGGCCGAGAAACTCTCCACTATGGTTCGGTAGGGAGGTCCGCATCCTTCTCCGTAAAAGAAGAAAAATGTGGGGTAGATTTAGGTTACTGAAGACCGATGAGACAAAACCTCAGTACCGAAAAGCTCGGAATACCTGTGCCTCGACCCTCCGTAGGTCTAGAAAGTTGCACGGAGAAAAAGTTGTTGAGGAATCCATGGAATGCCCTAAACGCTTGCATTCCTATATAAACCAAAGGACAAAAAGAAGAGGAACTGTTCCTGTTCTATGAGGAAACAGTACTGCCGCATCATTAGTGGGGGACGACCTTGGTAAGGCTCAAGTGCTCTCGAACTACTTTAGCAATGTATATACCATAGATCCCCCCCACACATACACTGGATAGCGTGACCATTAAAGAACTCGATGTCTTTGGTCTACTAAATAAGCTTGACATAGGTAAATCCACGAGGCCCGATGAATTACATCCTAGGCTGCTGAAGGAATTATATATCTTCTTTAAGTACTTGCTTTAACCTATCCGTAACGCAGGGTCGTTTACCAAAAGACTGGAAAAACGCCATAGTAAGTCCTGTCTTCAAAACAGATACGAAACACAAACCTGAGAATTACCGCCTCGTTAGCCTAACAAGTGTGGTTGTTAAAATCTTAGAAAACATTATTCGGAAGGAGCTCTTTGAGTATCTCGATAAAAACCGGATCCTCTCGGAGAAGCAGCATGGCTTCAGAATAGGTTATTCTTGTCTCACTAACTTATTAGTGGCTCGTGAAAGCTGGTGTGCTCTTAAGGACCAAAAGCTACCTGTAGACGTCGCCTTCATTGATTTCAGTAAAGCTTTTGATAAAGTTCCGCACAACCGGCTGTTATATAAGTTAAAACATGTCGGGATTGGAGGTAATTTATTGATGTGGATAAAAGACTTTAGTTGGGCGTCAACAAAGAGTAAGGGTGAACTCCAAGTTGTCTAGCTGGGAAACTGTGCTTAGTGGAGTGCATCAGGGTACAGTTTTGGGGCCAGTGCTACTCCTCTTGTATGTAAATGACCCTCCTCGTTTCCTATCATCATCGGCCTTGCTATATGCTGACGATGTCAAGATATGGAGAACGATACGATGTAAGCGTGATAGTTTTGAACTCCAAAATGACCTGAAGAAATTATCTGAATGGTCTGAAGCCTGGCAGTTGCTGATAAATACTTCCAAGTGTGTTGTGATCCATATTGGTCATCAGGGTACAGATACATACACGATGAATAACACTGAGCTACCTGTCGTCCACACATATAATGACTTAGGAGTCATCGTTAGCCAAGACCTAAAGACTACTGCACACTGCCGTGCAATAGCCGCCAAAAGTTTTAGAACTTTATGGTCACTACGTAGGGCTTTTAGCCATTTCGACGCTAAGACGTTTTCGACTTTGTATACAGTGTTCGTACGTCCTAAACTTCAATACTGCATACAAGCGGCTAGCCCCTGCTTAAAAAAGACAGTGAGCTTCTGGGAAAGGTTCAGAGAACGGGAACTAAGCTGACTCTCGGAATAGTGAAGCTTCCGTATGAAGCTCGACTGGCCAAGCTGAACCTTTTCCCGTTGTCATATCGTAGAACTAGAGGCGACTTGATTGCAGTTTTCGAATTGCTTAGTACCAAATTCGCACCTCATATGCCCTTATTTTTCTTGTCTTCCAAAACAAAGGATTTACGAGGACACTCCAAAAGAGTTCATAAGCCCAGAACAAATTACTTGTAAGCTGACTATCAGCTTTCTCATTGAATCATCAACGAGTGGAATTCATTACCTCAGCACGTGGTTGAGGTTCTATCCGTCGACTCTTTCAAAAGAAAGTTAGATCAACTGAGAGACCACAATTGCCAGGACTAACACAGGCCATCAAGTCTCCTGTCCTTCCCAAACTGAAACTGAAACTGAAACTGAAAATCGAAGTTCCTAACAATTGTGTACAATCATTCAGAGAAAATCAGCATTCTGTGCTCATAATACTCTTTGGCCGTGAACATGTATATATACCCTTATATATCAATAAGTATTCTCCCAATTCCTTCGTTTGCGCTTTCGAAATAGAAATGACGAATTCTTTCAAAATTTAATTTCAATTATTTAGTACTAGCGACATGCCATGAGACCGCATTTTACAGTCTCATATACTAAAAAGTCAATAGTTATGCGCATTAAAGTAAAAAAGTTACAGAATGTTAGGTTTTCAGATCAAAGTTTGAAATATCGGTTATTTCGTTTAAATCGATCACATGATTTTTATTCACATCTATGACCTAGATACTAATACAGAATTGTTATGAATCTCTCCGGGAGGTTTTTTGTAAAGTCTAATTATATACGGGCTGCTAAAGTAAGATAGTTTCATCTAAAATCATAATTGATATATTTGATAGGATGAATGGATTCTGTGCGATGTAAGACTTTTAACTGATGATACCGACACATTTTTGTGCATTAAATCACTACCTTCTTCGATTTTATTGAGTGAACATAACAACTGCATAGAGAACAACGTTGATAAACTCCCTGAAAAAAGTCCGTATAGGCCAGAAAATTTTGCTACGAGACCATTCACTGCACTATGTAATCTAAGTGAATATAAATCATGTTCAATGAGAACAGAGGCCGTTAACTCGAGTGCCTCGTTTGCACTTAAACTTGTGCCTTCGAGTGTTTTCGGAAACAAAAAACTTCTCATTGCTACAGAAGATGAGAACGAGATCACCACTTGGTTGGCCATTTGTAAGACATGTATAGGGAAGAAGTCGAGAAATAGCTCTTCAAATAACAGAGACCTGGCATGTAATTTGGGGACGCTTAGCAAATCTGGCAGCTTTATGTCACTTAAACCAAACTCACAGGCTTGTGAAAGTGAATTTGACGATGGACTAATGGACAATGAAGTTTATGAGGCATACTCTTCAGGTATAATTATTTGACCAGATGTTATCATGAGATATAATTTATCATATAGTAACATTTTATGTTCTTGTAAAGTATTAGCATGTTTGTATTGTTACTTCTCATGACTGAGGTTCGATTGGTGACTTTTTGCTGTTTTAGGATTACTTTGGACACTTCTTTTTATTGTTGACACTTGTGTAAATTACTTCAAAAAATTTTCGACGCAGCATTATTCATAACGCACACTCATTTCACATCTTATAGAAGTGTCTGATAGTTAGAAGACTTTCTTTACCGTGGGAATTTCTCCATTTACAAAACATCTACATATTTTAAGAGTATACCAACGAATGTTTTGTGATTTTTCTTCATAGACTAAAGTCAATATAATATGTCGTTTTTTAATCAGCTAGGCACAAAACTCTTGAAGCTTCGGAGTAGACAACACTTAAACAAAATTGAATCTAGCTTCATGATTCTTCTCGCCAACTTTAAAGTGGAGCCAAGACATCTTTTTGACAATAACAACACTTTATTGTGCCACAAGAGCAACGTTATTTGACAAATTTCCTACGAATTTCAGAAACACAGTTTGACGTAGTCTACTAAATAATGTCAAGTTAGAAATCTAAGAATTAGGTATGATCAAAACAACATCAATATTTAATACAAATGTCAAATAACAAACGTGTAAAGTTTATAACTAATGACGAGATATTCATAGGCGACGCAACTTGGATCAAATTAGAGTTTATTTCTTTCCTCATCCCTATCAACAACATAGCTCAGTTAATGAATACAAGTTTATGCAATCTGTTTGAAGCCCTACTTTCTAATGCGATCTGTTGATACTATTCAGATGGCAATATCTCTCGAGTCGAACTACCAAGCTAATACCCCTTCATATTTCTAAAGTCCACTCAAAATCCTATTAAACTGTGTACATTATTTTTATTTGATATAATCGGCCAATGACAGAAATGTTAAAACTATTCAACGTTAATCATTTTACAGCTTATACTGTATATGTAACTATGACTTAATTTTTTAAGAATCGTCGTAAAAGGTTTGGTTGCACTATGATGAATCGATCATAGATCAAGTAATACAGTAGAAACACTACTGTCGTTGGAATAGAAGAGTGAAAAATTCTACTGAAAACTCAATATCCAAAAATATTAGATAGGTAATATCCTGTAGTATTGGTTAGCAAAGTGACTAAAAAATCATTCTACTGGTTACTTATTTGCACATGCTTATTCGGTTTGTAATAGTTTGATTCAATTTAGCATGTTTTCGTTAGGCATTTTCTTTGATTCCTGTTCTCAAGATTTGCTTCAAATTATTCTCTATTGTTTGATTAATTGATTAGTTCTGTTTTCCATTATTTATGAAAGAGATATAGGGTCATTGTGTGTGTTCATACAATATTATGAATTTTATGCATCAAGTAATGTTTGCTAAGTAATGTAAAGCGGGCGTTCATGTTATAAATATGTTATTGTACAATCTACTAGATACATTTTACAAAACATACAAATTAGAAAACGCTACTTTAGACATATTAGATTATCTGGAGCACTGTTACAGATACATAAAAAACCTTCCTAATTAATTACCGATAACCACAAAACCTTACTATTTTCCCTACAAATTTTTTTAATTTGTCTTAGTTTGTACTTGGAGTTCCTAATTCCTAAAAATACCCAAATAATAATTGGTTTTTATCGTCTCAACCACTTAATGAAAAACATTTTGAAGGCTTGTTTAAAGTTCAAGATGCACTTGAGTAAATCATGAAATAAAATAAATGTTAGCTATACCTCATGTTAGTTAAGTTAATGACATTATTATTGCATAGAACTGTCACTCATTATTAAAGGGGAGCCAATCATATCTGGCCTTCAATAAAATGGAAATCAACCTTTTATAAAAGCATTTAATACCAGTGAATTTTTTAATGGACGTCATCTGATAGCGTACATCAAGAGCCATATGTAAAACAACTGACAATGAGGGTTCTTGAAAGTAACTATAAGCGGTCACAGAAACCTCATTTATGTACAAAATCAATACCAGTTACCTGGGCTATTAGATACATGTATTGGAGCTTTCTAATGAGACGCAGTTATTTTGGGACTCATTTGTATCTTCAGTGGTTACAAAATAATATATGTTAAACATTAATAAATAACTGCCACAACGTAGTTATGAATTTCTGGAGAAATGGTAACCACCAATCATACCAAATCCGTCAAAATCTCCAATCTTCTTAAACGGTGCAGTTTTGGAACCAGATTAAAATATATTTTTTACTAACTTCGGGATATTAAAAATTCCCATAGTATAAATTTGAATAATAAATAAGCTACCCATATTCCTTTTAATTAGATCTGCCTCAGAGTTTATTTTATTAACCTTATCAAGGCAACTAATGACAAATTTGAAAAGTATTAAATAAGAAAACAGTATGAACTAATAATAAGGTGACAGGTGTAGTAATAAATATGTAAATGATAAACAGCATGATAACATGAACTAATATACTGACATAGGAATCGGGTCAAGGTTTAAAAAAGTAAACTTATTTAATTGATCATGAACTATGTAATAAGAAATGAGTAAATAGTCGGTATGAATATACAAATGGTGAAGAAGAGGGGTGTAGAAAAACCTTCAAACAAAGGGTTCAAAGGATTGGTAGGGTTGTTTATTGTTGGCTATCTGTCTATATAAAAAAAACTGGGCTTACACACTTCTTTTGAATACAAAGAGCGGTTGTTAACCTGCAGCTTTGATTGTGTGCAGCAGGTTAGGTCGATCCTCACCAGGAAAATGAAATGGTATGCGACAAATCACTGAATCTCCAGTTCCACTTACCATATGATCAATATCAACGAAGTGTAAGTTAGAGGGCCTTCGTAACGATTTTGTCGGAACACTTCCAAACTTTAGACCTAATGATTCAGAAAAAAACAACTTATATTTCAAGCATGGATTTGACTCATTTTGCTTGACAAATCGTACATTATAAAATGTAAATTCTTAAAATTAGTGCGTAATTCCTGCCCCCAAAAATATGTATAGTTTGTGTCTATATTGTATATCTCATTTTGAGGAATAAATGTTATCAATAAATATTTACTGATATATGTCAAATGTTGGAACTATCCGAGACTGGTTGTGATAATCATCATTATGTGATGTTTTGTCGAGTAATGAGTACTACGCAACTGTAAGAGGTAAAATAGCCTGTTTTTGAAAATGGATTTTCGAAATTCCATCGCATTGGCTTACAAACAATTTACGGATAAATTTCTCGTTTGAAGAATGTTTCTGTTGTATCTAATAGACACTAGATGGTTCCATGAATATTTAGTTCCTTTCATCATGTTTCACTCTGTAAGACTCATTTAGTTGTCCATGTCGTAGTTTTAATGTTTATGGTTTTGGAAGTTACTTTACATTTTTAAATTTCTCTATTTACCTTCTTTATAATCATGGGAAAACTGACTGACAAAAAAATCATAAAATGTTTTAGATTCATGGAATGCGCTTGTGGACAGTAAGGCAAGACTCTAACTTACGGACGACCTTTGAACGAATTTTAAGTGACCTTGAGAAATATTCGCCAATGAGCAAACAGTATAGAGTAAAAATATATTATACAAAACCATGGAAAAAAAGCGGATACACTTCTTATACGTGGTTCAAAAACTTGTCAAAGTTAAAAAGAGGTTCAGAGGTTCTAAAATCTTAATTCATGCAGTAGAGGAAATCATCCATACGGCTACAGAATAGTCGGCATCTGGAGCCATGATAAAGTCTCAAAGACTCTGTCAGCCTCGACAACGTAGCTTCATTATTGTTTATGTGCGCTGCGGTTGTTGAGTGCACAAAATGCTACTTGTAGATAACGACACGATGCACATGACCAAGTCTATGTAGGAGTCTATACGCTCTCCAACCATCCGTATATATTTTAGTACCTGGCTCCAGCCAGTGTTACTGGTGCTTTTATTATCCAGTTCACAATAATTGTCGTAATTCGCCTTAGGAATTATATATGGTGTTTTCATCACGAACTGACATCAGCTATAATGCCAGAAATTTATTTAGCCAAATGGATGAAAGGCTTTTGCGTTAAAATACGCGTTCTCTTATCTTTATTCGTCCACAAATTATAGTCTCACCGTTTTATTTGTTATAGCCGTTCAATTATCACGTTTTGTACAAAATTCCCTCTGAACCGGTCGTACGTTAGCATTAAGCACTGAAGTTGGCTCCATAACCTTGAAATATCCAAACCGCTTCTGATTGGCTCGTCCATAAATTAGAGTCTCGCCTGCATTTGACCCGAATAATTATGGGTGTTGACTGTGTATACACACAGTAATAAATAGGCTTACGACCTATTGCGATGCTTAATACTGGGATTTTCAAACCAGAACCGAGCGCCTATTGGCATGTTTTCTTCCCTGTATACCACTTAGAACGAAGTGAGATGAATATATTGGAATTTACAGATCCAATATCTAAAGAAATGAAAAAATAATCATGATACCCAAACTAATGGTATACTTTCGCCATTAGAAATAACAAACAGAAACTGAGTGTTAAAAAATCATTTTGAAAATATTATTTGTGTATAATTCTAATTCAATTGTATATTAACGAGAAATTGACTGCAATATTACACAATCGACACTTCGAATTCCCAATTGTAACAAAATGTATACTATTGAGTAAAATTTTTACGATTATCATGTTTTGAGTCAAAGTGTGCCTTGTTCTATCTGGGAGTGACGTTGTGGAACACCGAGTAAATCATTTGTAATGGTATTTCGACCTTGAGTAGTCACTCCTAAATGCAGTTGTGATATTGATTTTTGTTAATAATAATTATTCCATACCACATGTTCAATTGAATTAAAAATTTCTCAGTACAAAACATGCAAAATTGCTACAAACTTACCGTTTTATATACATTGATTGGTTGAGATCTTGAACTGATTGATGTTAGACCACCATTGAAAATCTGGAAGCACTGAATGGCCGTTTTGTCCTGTTTTGGGACTCTTCAGCAGTGCGCATCCACGATCCCACCCGTGGGATTCGAGCCCAAGGCTTTCAGTCTCGCGCACAAACACTTAACCTAGTTGACCTCTGAGCTGGCATCACGCAATTTCGTGGATTGATTGTGGCTAAACATTAACACCGTTAGATGCCGGCTCAGAAGCCAAGTAGGTTAAGCGTTCGAGCGCAAGCCTGAAGGCCCTGGGTGAGCGGGATCGTGGATGCTCACTACTGAAGAGTCCCACAGTAGACGGAACGGCCGTCCAGTGCTTCCAGGCTTTCAATGATGTTCTAACATCAATCGGTTCAAGATCTCAATCAGTAACTTAATAATCTCCACAACCCTATACTGATAATTACATATATTTATCATGTGAGTATTCGAAAAACACGTATCTGTAAAGTTTTTAAACAGAGATTAGCTGCTATTCATACTCATACGTCATTGTTTACGATCAATTTTGTTTAGTATAAAATATTTTTTCATCGCTTAATATTTCTGATACACAAATACCGTAGCAATCTCCTTTCATTTCTCCAGACGACAGAGAAAGAGATTTTCCATACTACTGCGATAAGACTTATAGACTTTGTCATTACTTAGGTTTATTTTAGGTTGTAAACAATTTCTCGATCGCGTAAGTGCAAGTAGATCATAGACATAATTAATAAATAAAATTAAGTTTAAGTTGAGCAATAGGTATACGTTTTAAAAAATGGATGGAGGAAATGACAACGCAGAAGTTCGAGTTTTTTGTTAGCCATTATGAGAATGTAGAAATTTCAAAATACATAATAAAAAGTTATCATTTTCAAACAGTCAGTCGGTAACAACGTAGAACTTTGTACGTACGTACATCAGTTCGAGTTGCCATACCTTGTTAGTACAGAGATATAATTGTCAATTCAAATCCCGTAGTGGTAAAGGTAGTAAAAGTATAAGCAGTGATCGGAAAGATTAAGGTTTGAAGATGTTATTCAAAGAGTATAATCCAGTGAAAGAGAATACAGGGGCATGAAGAATTCAGAGGATTAGAATTTGGGAGAACACAAAGAGTGGACGCACCTGCGCCATTGCAGATGATTTTGAGCCATGTGATTGAAAGTCTCTATCATCTCGCGGATCCCAACCAGGTAGTCTACACTTACCAAAATGGCTTAGTCCACTTGTCTGTGACTTGATGGATTTGTGCCATGTTTGGTCTGGCCACCCTTAGCTTTCTTCCAACCTACTTCTACACCTACACCATAAAACGTTGCAGGTTGGGGTGGTTCGTTGTTGTGCATACGTAACAAGTGTCCCAGCCATCTCAATTGGTGAAGTTTCACTACTTCATCAACTGATTTGCCATTCTTACCTAGTACCCGTTTCCGAACAACTGCGTTACTTACTCGATGGACGGTTAACATCTAGGTTCACTGAGTTGGCATAAACTGGTACAAATTTGAATTTGGTCATTTTGTGAAAACTGTCTTATTCCTGAAATTTCTGAACTTCATCACCCACGACCTAGTGATTCTACGGGTCAGTCGTTCCGTTTAAAATCCGAAGGTCCTGAGTTCAATCCCTGTTCAGGTCGTTGGCACATACTGATGAATAGTCTAATACTAGAATGAAACAGCTGTCCAGTGTTCTCTGGATCAATTGGTACTCCAACAGGGAATTCTACAATGCACGTAGATATTAAATCCACGGTTTTTTTACTGAGACCGTAGATAATCATTATTGCGAAGTCCTAAACTGTGTCGAAATAGCCGCCAAGTATTCTTTGATTTTTACTGGTGTATTATCTTTTAAACTATTAGTGTTTTTGAAGAGTCTCAATAGTTCTACAAAAGTGTAATGTGAGAAATGTTATAACTACTACTAAGGTAAATGTTTGGCAACTTTCATTTTAGCGGGTGACTTACTCATTTGTAGTATTGTCTTTACTCTTTAATTGAAAGTTTCAACGAAAAAAAAAGTCAATAAAACTACATCTATTTCTTTTTTTTTCCAGCACACTTTCAACTTCTATACTCATTGATTTGTTCACTCTTCAACTATTGATTTTTTTTATAGAGGATAAAATTCCTGCACTTCTTGAAGAAGCTGGTGATTGGATGAAATTACATTTATGTCAACCAGATTGTTATTTACGTTTAACAACAGATCGTTTAGAAGTTTTGGATTTTTACAGTCATAAACCTGTGCACTGGTTTCCATATCTACTGATACGTAGGTAAGTCTATGAAACAAAATAAAAAAAAATCTCCAAAATTATTTATCATTGTTCATGTTTCTTTTGGCTAAGCATTCTTTATTCTTTTTTTCTTGGACACCTATTTAATTGTTAGAGATTTTGAGGTTGCACTTAAAATCAATATATGATTCCTTTCTGTTGTCTATTTTAACCAAATGGGTTTTGTGGATATTATAGTAATTTCAATGGTTAAGATCATGAATCAATTGAAGCTAAACCACTACGGAAAACCTAGAAGCACTGGACGGCCGTTTCGTCCTATTGTGGGACTCCTCAGTAGTGCGCATCCACGATCCCGCCTCCTCCGCGAAATTCGAACCCAGGGCCTATCAGTCTTGCGCGCGAGAGCTTAACCACTAAACCACTGGCGATTCCCATACTAGGACGAAACGGCCATCCAGTGCTTCCAGGTTCTCCGTGGTGGTCTAGCTTCAACTGACTCATGATCTTAACCATTTGTATTTTAAACAAACTCAAATAATACACAATTTAGACTTATAACTAATTATTAATAAACCGCATTTAAAGAAATAACATTAATTAGTTACTCTCAAATCGTTTTTTGGTGTGTGAAAGTTTCTAGAAGGTGAAGTTCTCTTAGAAATTATATTGATCAATATCATTTTTGTCTTATTATTGAAATATTATAAATAGATTTGTTTATTATCAGAAGGGATTTTGTAGAGATTTTAGTGATTTCAATAGTTGAAACCTGGAAGCACTGGACGGCCGTTTTTGTCCTAGTATGGAAATCGTCAGTGGTTTAGTGGTTAGGCGCTCGCACGCGAGACTGATAGGTCCTGGGTTCGAATCTCGCGTAAGGCGGGAGGGATCTTGGATGAGCACTGCTGAGGAGCCCCATACTATGTCGAAACGGCCGTACAATGCTTTTAGGTTTTCCATAGTGGTTTAGCTTCAATTGATTCATGAACTCAATTATTGAGATTTAATAGTCACTTAACATGATTTTCATAATAAATTTTCCTCTGTAATTGAGGATGTTTTCGAAATTATATTTGGGTAATTTATGATAATGTGTTCGTCACTAAATGGAGAAAAAATGGGTCTTTGATTTTGTTAAATTATTTGCTATTATATATTCTGGCCACTGAGACAGTTAATACGGTCCATTAAATTTGTTGTTTAACAAATATATAGAGATATGTATGTTTAGTCAATACATATTCTTCCAATGTGTTCATAATAGCTATCCAGAATTGCGCTTACACTGATGTCATTGAAATATCATTCTAATCGTAATGAATATATTGGTGTGAGTGGTAAATCATAATATTTGAGTTATTATTACTATATTAGCATAGGAAGTTTGTGGAGATTGTTGAATTCTACAGTTTTCACCACAAGATAACCTTCGTTAGACAACCAATGAAAGTCGAGAGTTAGTGGACAACTGTGTTTCTTCAGTGTCTAGCAATTCTAAGCGATGCGCACATTCACAACCATTCTTAGAATCAAACCTAGCAGCCAGTGATTAATCTTTGAACGATTGAGTTAATATTTCTAACCATATTATGTATAAGGCATACATTACTTACCGACTAGATCGGAAGATGATTGCGCAATATTGCCAACTCATTAGTCTGGTAGTTAGCTGTTCAGTCGTGGGTCAGAAGGTTCTAGGTTCTGTTTCTAGAGAGGTTGTAGATGTGCACTACTGAGGATAATTCTACTACAATGAAACAATTGTCTATTACTTTTTTTTGGGTTACACTGATTCCCTAACGGAATACATCTTTTGACACAAATCCGCTGTTCATCTTGCTGTGCTAATACGACAAGGCAACTTGGACCAATGCATATATGTGCCTGGTCCTACATTGTAGCCGACTGACTAAATCGTAAATTACTTCAATCAATTTATTTTCAAATGGAAAACATTTCCCAGATTCTACGTAGAATTAGTCAACAAAATGAATTCGTTTCAGGTTTCTCATATGACATTGTTTTTTACCAAATAATTTCATCATGCTGTGTAGATGCAGTTTTTCTTGTTACACTCTCTTATATAATCACTGAAATATATAAAATTGATTTAGTTTTGTTAAACACTTCTCCTAGAAAAAAGATCTTGGTCTTATTTAAAAGGTGACTGTTAATTTGTTCATACAATTTATTTTATTAAAATTGACTTCACAGACATCAAGGATAAGGAGTGAAGTAGTCGAACGCGTCAATAACTTCACTTATCTTGGAAGTCTGACGAGATCTCAGCACGGATTCATAGAGCTCGTTTGGTTTTTGCCAAATTACGTCACCTATGACAAAGGTGAGATATCCGATTATTAATTAAAGGACGAGTATACTGTGCGGCAGTTCGCCGTGTCCTAATTTACGACTGTGAAACGTGGCCATTAAGAGTAGAAGATACTTATAAGTTACTAGTATTTGACTACAGATGTCTTAGAAATATTGTTCGCATCTCCTGGGATCACTGAGTTAATAATAGTGAGATCAGATGCATGTTATTGGGGAACGATGGTAAATCAGTCGATGAGGTTGTAAATCTTCATCGACTAAGATGGTTGGGCCATATGTTACGTATGCCTGAACACCATTCACCATGACGCATAATGTTGACTAGTGTTGGGGATGATTGGAAGAAAGTTAGGGGCGACCAAACCAAAACGTGGCATCGGTGTTTGAAGTCACTAACTTCTGATCTGAGCCATGTTGATAGATGCAGACTACTTGGTTGGGGTCCGTGTGATTGTTGTAACCAATGGTTTGAGACTCTGGGTGACATTGCTCAGAATCGATCATAATGGCGTCGGTGTATACACTCTTTGTCTTCCCCTAAGCTATAAGATTCAAAGTGCTTTATACCTTTCTTTCTACAAACGAATTCTTTCTTTCTGTATTATATCCTTATATACAATTTTTCTTTTATACATTACCATCATTGAAGTAACTCCTATGAATTTGGTGTTCATCTTGCTGTGCTAAAGTGTGGCACCTTGGACAGATGCATATATGTTCCTGGTACTACGTTGTAACTGACTGATTGACTCAAAGACATCAACCATTAGCTCATATTTGTAGGGTACTATGTATCTAAACTTATTAAATAAATCTTAATATTTTCTTTTTCCAAGAATAATGATTAAGATAACTAATCTTAGTCAGAATTAGTAAGTATCTTCATTCCTAATACATGAATAAATGAAAGCTATAATTATAGACAAAAGTCATTTCATTCACAGTCGAATTCACTAATGAGTACAAGTAAAGGTGATATTCAACAGGAACTTATTCAATGAAATCAATTTAGCATCTGTTATAATCTTAATAATCATTTTCTTATGAAACCAACATTTTAATCTCGGAGAAATACTTCATATTCTCATCACAATCCTATATTTCAATAGAGTTTAACTGATTTAGACTAGAAAATTAACATTGGAATAATAAGACAGTCACATAAATGTATCTATCAGAGTCTTGCTTCGGTTTGGGCACCCAGGCAGTACTATAGACCACACACAAATCAAGTGTTATGTATGGCGCATTTGTATTCGGTTCCCCGTTTGTACCAATATTTATGTGTTCAAATAAACAAATAAATAAAATTCTATCAGAGTATGAAGTTCTTATATGTTGAGATCACTGGCTAATTTCATGTGTCTAATCACCAGTCGGAATCCTAATTCTAATTAGGTCTATTTAGCGTCCACTATTGCCTAGACTGTCAAGTCTCTACAAATCGACCAATCACACACCTGACCAATAGCACTGAGCCGACAACTAAGCTCCATTCATTCGCAATCTCTTCTTTATCCCTTGTATTAAGTCCAGAAGTTGCAACCGGCTTCTACAATATTTATATTTTAAATAGATATAGTTTATATACTGACACTCCTTCGTCTATAACATTTGAACTGAAAATTCATTGGATTCATGTAATCAAACATTTGATTAAATTCATCTTACTATTGATGGTGACTGAACTTCAGAGGCTTTTTTGTTAGTTGATCAATCCATGTAGGTTTTTTGTAAATAAATCTTAAATTACAGGGTTGTAAAGATTGTTGAATATGAATTGAGACCAAAATTGAAAACCTGGAGGCACTGGGTGGCCTTTTCGTCCCAATAAGGGACTCTTCAACAGTGCGCATCTACGATTCCGAGCTCGGGACCCGAACCCAGGACCGAATGTGGAATCTCTGTCATTTTAGCATCCATAAAGTAAATGTTTAATTGTCATATCAAACCGTACATTTTTTCATTAGGCGACAGCTATTGAAGGTCTTTAGATTGTTACTCAAGTCACATTTATTATCATAAATAAAAGTGTCATCTGTGTACCTTTTCTACAAGTGGAATTTGTCGATACTTGTTTTATTTTTCTGTTTTCATTGCCTTTCCGGTAACATTTCGTTTTGATTTCAACATTTTATCTTATTATGACTGTAGCTTTGAAACATGATCCATGAAAGCAGAAAATGTACATACGGTGTACGTTTTCGCTTACTAATCGTGAAATAACGGAGTGAGCAGTAGTGAGGTTAGAAATAGAGTACTAGATGAAGATGAAAAATCTGTCAGTAAGGTTGTAAATCTTCATTGACTGAGGTGGTTAAGAATTGTGTTATGCATCCCAAACCGTCACCCACCTTGATAGACAGTGTTAGCTAGTATAATAGTAAGTTGGGAGAAAGCTAAGAGAGATCAAACCAAAATATGGGATCAGTCTGTGAGGTCGTTGACCATTGTTTTCAACCATGTCAGTAAGTGAAAACTATCCAGTTGAAGCTCATGCGATTATTGTGATCAGAGGTTAGAGACATGGAGTGAGATGGCTCAAATAGTAGTTAAAACTGGACAGATACATTCACTATTTATTTTTCATATGATTTCCCGTCCAAATATTCGTATATCATCTGTTTTCATACTATCTTTTCGAATCATATTCTCGCTTTTTTGTCTTTCGTTGTCATGACTACATTATTTGGATGCCTTCA